TTGAAGCAGGCCAGAAAATCTGCAACCCCAAGCCCTGTTGGTACGAATGGGGGCATGAGCGATGATGACAAAATCCGACTGCAGCTGGCCCTGGATGTTGAGTACTTTGGAGACCAAGTAAGTTGAAGGAGAAGCGAGTTGACTTAGTATAGTCAGTGATTTATGAAAGGAGCTGGACTTATTTGTCTGGTCTTGAAAGCTTTGGATTTTATACCTGTACAGTGTAGGTGACTTGAAACCTTGGTGATTGTACATGCAGCTTGAGCAATGCATGCTTTCCTGTGCAGTATTGTAGAAATGAAAAGTTTGTGCTTTTCACTACACAAATTTCAAATGCGGTTTAGTGTTTAGAAGTACTGAGAGAAAGCACAGTCAAGGGTCTGTTCTGAGGAGTTTTGAAGTTCTCAGCCTTGTTTATTATTAAGTTCCTTTCAGTGTCAAGTATGAAACTTTAAGTAACACAATTAAAAGAAAAAAGTATTCCAGGAAATCTGTGCAGTAGCTCACATGAATTTGTGTAAACATACATGTTTCTGTAGTCATTATTTCTATGCATAATCTTTAGAAATAAACTTCTAAGTGCAAATTAATTTCATTAGCTGCCAAACAGTTGTCATTGGTCTTCTGAGCAGATGCTGCTGATGCATTATAACAGGTAGATGCATTCTGCCTCGGAATGAGGAAGCAGATTTGTGTGAGGTAGAGGAATCTTATTAACAAAAATCATCTGGCTGATTTGGTTGGAAGTAGGTGGGTTTTTGTTTTTACCTGTGTTTGGTGTGAGCTTAAGTTGTACTAGGATAGATTATGTATAATTACTTGGGAATTGTTTTGATACATGTGAATATCACCCAGAGTTCCAGTCAAAGAACACCTTTTTAGAGCAATTTCATGTTTGTTTTGTTTAGATACAGGTTTTTCTTCAGTGCATGGTTAGTTTTCTCAAGGTGGTATTTTTCTAATTGTCAAAGCAGTAGATTTCATAGGTAAGAAAAGAATCTTAGCAACCTCTCTATTTGTGGAGTTATTTTCATCCCCCATGAAGTTCTAGGGTAGAACTGTAGGCTCTTTAAATGATGGAAATGATTCCATCATCACATTGTTGGCTGTTCTTGGGTGGGTGCTTGTTTATTTTAAAAGCTTTGCCTAGAAACTTCATTTAAGATTTGAGAAAACTTCAGTTGAAATGAACATATTAAAGAAATAAAGTTACAGCCAGGCTTCTCTCTTCTGCCTGCTTTGTTGAAAAACTTCCAGCTGGCTTTAGTTACGAGTTGCCTGGAGGGTGGTTAAATATTTTCCTGTGAGACCCTATGTTAGCTGGAAAGACTTTACTGAGCAGAGCTGGATAGCGTGTCCTGTATGCGTGGCCATCTTGTACTACACGCTGCAAGACAAACCATGTGCTTTGCTAAATACTTTAAATAGAACCAGAGCTTGCAGTGTTTAAGGACAGTAACACTTCCTTTATATCTTTCAGATACAAAAGATGGGCCTGCCAACAAGCAACATAAAAGGGTTTTCAGCGCTTACAGATATTGTTCTAACTGCCAAGGATCAGACTACAGTGGAACAATCCTAAATATTTTTGAAAGCATGTGACTGAAGATAAGCAGTGTCCCTTTAAGAAAGAGAGTATTTAACTTGTCTTTATTTTACCAAATTAGTTCAAATTAAGTGCTTCCTAATGTGTATCAGTAAAGAAATCAGTGCATCTTACGTCAAGATAGACTTGTTTAACCAAAAGACCGAAAATTTATCAGGTTTCCATTATATGGAAAGCAGTCAAAAGTTCTAAGATTTTTACTATAGAATAAAAGTGAAAGAAAGTGTTTTTTATTTTTGTGTAAATCTTATGTAAAAGAATGAGCTTATATGATTTAAATAATATGTAATAAATCATCTTCCTAATATTGATGCCAGTATGTTTTTGAATGAGATACCTAAATAGGGCATTCACTGCTGGCTCCTTAAAGCTTCAAAGGGACAGCTTTCTGCAGTAAAGGAACTGCTCACTGTAATGGGAATCCCCTCTTTCTTGCAGCAACCAGCTTTTTCACTTTGAGACCCAGAAGGTTCCTAAAGTGCATTGTTTCAGGAATCATTTCTACTGTCATTATATAATTTACTGGCGGTTACTTTCAGGCTGTTTTCTGCCAAACTATAACTTAAGTTACTAAACTATTTTAAACAGATCAGCAAAATCAGCTTGATTCTGATTTGTTTTATGTTATTTATTACAATTTAGGAGAATATTTTATCCCTAAATTCATTTAGGATGCTTGTGACTCTTAAAATTCTAATGCAGCAATTTTAGCTGTCTCAGTACAAGCTGTGTCTTTATATAGCCAGGAAATTGAAAAGTGTTATTATGATTTTAAGGCAGCCCTTTAACAAAGGGCTGTCTTTATCTTAGAGCAACTTAAAAGGTGTGACACTCACTTATGTAAGGGACAGATAAGCCTAGGGAGCACAATCAATGAATTTGAGGATTTTAACTGAGAGAATGTGTCTTCTATGAGTAAAAAGGAATATGTGTGTGTGTGTGTGTGTGTGTGTGTGTGCGCATATATATATATATAATTTTTCTCCCTATAAAAAATGGCAGAGGAATTCAAAGCCTAGTTCAGGTTTCTTAAGTGTTTGGAGAGCTTGGGCCTTAAAGATGAAAGTTGGAGATGATCCATCTCTCCTCAGTAGTTAAATAACAAGTGGGTAGCACAAAGCTGTTATGTAGCACCACAGCTGTAGTCAGCAAACCTTTCACAGTATTGAAGTTTTTATTCCTCGCTGTTGGAGATTTACCCTATTTTAGTTGAAAAGATGCAATTACGTGATCACTGTGCTTGAAGCAAGTAGAGTAGGTGATTATTACAGACTTTTCTAAATTCAGGTTTATAAACACAAGGGAACAAGGGGGAAGTTTTATCACTGCAATTATGTTAGTTCTTCTCAGAGTCAACCTGAGTAATGGAGAGCAGAATTCGGCTCTTAAAATTTGTTTAGCATCTCTCCATTTGTGGCATGATACACAGTTACAGCCCTATGGGGGCTGTAAGCATTTACATCACAGTTTTTATGTCAGCTTTTCTACTCTTTGCCATTGTTTACTTGAATAGCATTTCATTTTCTTTCATTGGAATAAGATGTTACTAAAGAAAAATGTACAATACTTTTGTTAAAGGAGAACACAGATGTGAATCTACCTTGTTAGTGGTAAAAAGTATTTTAGCATTTTCAAATAGTATCAAATGGATCAATTGGGAAGAGAGGATCTAGCATTGTGGGCTCTAATAGAGACGTCTTCTACTTCTCATCCACTTTCTTCTATTCGTCAGAACCCTTGTGGAAGCAGAAATCAGTTAGAGAGACACAGATCTTGTGCCTTCTTCTTTCCTTCTGAGACTTTCAGAAAATTTACCTTTCTAAATGTCAAAAGAATTTATTTTATTTAGAACGCTCATATTGCTGCAATCAGTGCTCAGGTTTACAGGCACCACTTAAATTATTGTATAAAATGTGAACCTGGCGTAAAGCAAATTTCAAAAGCAGGAACAAGGAATCTAATTGGACATAAACTCACCTGTGTTAAAGCAATTCATAAGCAGTTTTATTTGCATTTTTCCTGTTCTATACATTTGCTGTTTAAACTGCTTCTATGTAACACAAGCACAATATTTAGATGTTAGAGCATCTGGAATACATTCAGTATAATCAGATAACGAATGGGTGCTACATCATAGCCTTTGAACTCCTAGTATTCCCAGGCGTGGGTTGTGCTGTTCATTCTTTCCCATTGAGGTGGAAGGATCAGTCATGGATCAGCACCACTTGTAGGAGGTCGCTGGTATTAGTCATTTTGAGTAGGTTAGAAATTTGGGCCACTATGGGTGGCAATGAGCTACCCTACCAAAAAGGTTTGTAATTGCTGCCTCAGTGCCCTCGTCGCTGAACACAAGTGTGTGGAGGTGGGCGGGAGTCCTTGCTCCACTGAAATCAAAGGTAAAGCTCCTGCAGGCTTCCCTAGTACCAAGATTTCACTCCCATTTCTTGTCTCCCTGGTTGTAAATCCAAGTTTGATAATCTGTTGTTCCAGTTTAAATTTTTAAACACTTAGGACTAAGAGTGGCAATGGATATTGGAAACGTTGTTTACTTGTGTAGTGACACACCTGCCATTAATACAGATAACTCAGATCCCATTATTTTTTAAGAACACGTGATCTGGATAGGTTAAGGATTTCAGATCTGGACTCTATAAACAGTGATGTTCTTTTTCAGCACAAGGCTGTAATAAATGTGTACAAAGTGAAAT